ATTCATATCTCATGTAAAGTTCTTAATTACTATGCAGTTAGTCTGAGATTGTAGGTATTCATGACTATTTACCTCTTTGCTACTAGTCCCTAAGAAAAATTTATCAGCATATACAGCAGAAATTGTATGTCAGAGGGACACACTAAGTTGTCCAATTTAGTTTTCATTAGGAAAAAGAATGGCAGTGCCATGACTGTTGATAAAGTGTGCAGAGATACAGGAGTCAGAGATAGAAGTGGTTTGCCTTCAGAGGTTCTGGAGCAATTCCTTCTGGGCTTCGTAGTGATGGTTTTGTGTAAGGGTGGGGACTTTGATTTGTTGCTTATTGCTTGTCAGCCCTTGGTTAGCCCCTGCAGAGATCACTGAATTGACATTTGATTTACTAGGTATTTTCTAAGGCACAGATGGGCCAGTTGCTGCTCTTTTCATTTTACTCAGTTGCAGAAGCCTTTGTGAAATCTTTACAGTAAAATAGATTGACTGCATTTGGATAAACAGTATTTCCATTAATGTTGTTACATTGTTTTTCTCCAAAGTATCTTTATGCATTTAGTATTGTTCCCATGAAACTAATGGATTCAGCAGAACTGGTAAAACAGCCTCCAGATGTCACTGAAAACCCTTACAGAAAATCTGGGAAGGAAGCGTCCATGGGAAAACAAATTCCTGCCCCTGAGGTATTGTTCTGATTGAGAGCTGGCATTTTCTGGGCAGGATTGCCCCTTACACGTGTTACAGTTTAATTTGTGAGACAAGTTTAATCCCTAGGATCTAAATATTCCCCCCCTCCCCTTAGGAAATCATGGCAATATTTAGAAAGCCTTAAATTTTAAGTAAGCTCAGTAATTTTTTTTTTTTTTAATTTGGGTTTAACAGTTTCATGGTTTCAACAACTGCTTGGTAGCAGCGTAATCTGATATTATAGTGAGAGTTAGTAGGTAAATAAGATTCACTCTGAGGAAATTTCTAAATAGCAAACTTTCCTGAAATTAATTTTCCCCTTATTACAACACAGAATGTCAAGTGAGGGGAAAATTAGTATGCTTTCTCAGACTTTTTTTTTTTTCTTTATGAGCAATCTTCTTATCTTTTTAATTAAATCTCAACTAGAGTTCTTTGATCCACGAAGCGTAGGACTGCATTGAGATAGAAAGGGAACGGAATTTGGATAAGTTCATATTGTTGTTTTAGGCAAGAATTGCTCTAGAGCTTGGACTTTAACTTGTTTTTCCAAAGTGATGAATTTGGTGGCATTTTGGATAAGTGTTGAGAAATATGGCAGAGTCCAGACATCTTCTCTAAAATGGGCAAAAGGGATGGGAGAAAAGATACACATTACATGGCAGGAATGTTCCTTTGTATGTGAATGTTTTGTACTTGTCTAGAGATTAGTTTAGTAATATCTACTCTTCTATGTTTGGCCATTCCAGGAAGAGTCAGCCTGTCAATTTTTCTTTGATTTAAATGAAAGGCAGGGAAGGAAGCGTTCATCCGCAGGCAGAGACAACAAGTCTCCTCACCCGAAGCAGCCTCGCAAACCTCGTAAGTACCTCGGGTCCAGAGGTCTCCTCTGTGATCAATAACAGTTACTGTGGGCCTTGATTGGGAAGCAGCATCGCTAAGGGAGCCTCTTCTGGCAGTGGGAATTGTACAGTGAGTCATTAGGGCCAATAATGAAAATGAAATAATACAAAGAAGGCCAGGCTTCGAGGCTGTCTGAGGCTGTTCCTGTGAGAATTATGGGAGTAGCTCCTTTCATTCATGCCTATGAAATGTGAGATAAAGAGCCTACAAAAGCTAATGTAGGTTCAAAAAATAATAGGATAATCAAAATGATAGAAAAAACTTCCTGGCTATTTCATCGAGATCCTTTGTACCAACCCCCCCTCATTTCAAAGATGAAGAAGCTGACTTTGGGAAAACTTACTGTCCAGGGTCATGTGGCCGGCTAGTGGCAAAGCTGGGACTAAAACTGGGGTTCCTGACACCCAGTTCAGTGTTCTTTCATTGCAACCTGTTGCCAGTTACATGCTATTTTAGTCAATATGTGGTTATCACTTGTGGATCACCTCCCTGTGGAATGGCTACAAATTCAGAATGTTTCTAATAAAGGTTTAGTTTCATCAATAGTATGTGATGGGGTAGGAGTCATAGTGGGAGCACAACAGGCCCAGTCCATCGCAGCAGAGCTGTACACCAGTCTTTGTAGGATATAAAGATCAGACAAGGGTGGTTATAAGCTGGAGTGTTTGGTCCATTGTAACATTTGGCTTTCTTCCACATAAAGCTCAGCCTCCAGGACCCTGCTGGTTTTGCCTTGCCAGCCCTGAAGTGGAAAAGCATTTGGTGGTCAACATTGGCACACATGTAAGTTACTTTCATAGATCTTTTACAGAGAAGGAGACACCAGTTCGTTTTCTATGGCTTTATTGAGTCAATATACATTAAGGGTCTGGCATAAATAATGCCCCTTTTTTGTTTTGTAACAAAATCTTCTATTATAAAATCATAAGAATGTAATTCTATAATGTAACAGTATCACACAAATATTTACAACCATTTTTCAGTGTGTGGTGCTGCAGACAGGTACTGTCATTTGTTTTTCATTGATTTATTCTAATTTTAGTTTTTTTTTTTAAGATTTTATTTATTTTTAGACAGAAGGGAAGGAAAGAAGAGAGGGAAACATCAGTGTATGGTTGCCTCTTACGCTCCCTCTACTGGGGACCTGGTCTGCAACTCAGGCATGTGCTCTGCCTGACTGGGAATCGAACCAGTGACCCTTTGGTTCACAGGCCAGCACTCAACCCACTCAGCCACATCAGCCAGGACTCTAATTTTGGTTTCTGAGTGTGACCTTTTCCTCAACTAATCCTTACCACATGAGGATCCTTTATTGTGGCCCTCTGTGTATACTGACCAACTAGAATCTCAACTTCATCTTATACGTTAGGTCACACCCCTTTCCTGCCTTTATTGTTTGAGATTGAATAGTTCCAGTCTTTTACATTTAATTTTTATGCCATTATTATTGGTACGCTTCTGTCTCTTGGGGGAGCGCTGATCGGCTGACACAGTTGGACCGTGGAGCCTGTGGGTGAACTCCAGTGAGAAGAGCAAACTTGGAAAGCTCTTGCTTTTACGGGAAAGCCCTTTTGGGATGATCGCTTTTGGCCTTGTAACCTCAATGCACATCAGAAAAACTGCTGTTTATGGCAGTGACCCTCTGACATAAAGAAAAGTCTAGAAGACTTAAGCTGCTAGAGTAAGCTTTTAAAAGAATCAAAAATGGTTACTGTAAAAATCAAGAAAATGCTTTTAGTGCTAAAGAGGTTTCGGTGAACTTTAGTCATCTGGAAAATTAGCTTTGTAGATGTGCTCAATCCTCTTTGCCAAGTAGATCTAGGATAGTCATAGGCTAGGATAACTTTAGCTTGTTTACACTACCTGTGTTGTCATTTCATTGGACTTTTTCAGTGTAAATGAGAAATAAGTGACTCCTTCAGCTTTAGCCACACTAATAGTGTACTTTGGATTGTTCTTTCTAAATCTCTGGTACCTTCATATGCCTGCATTGGTATACATAGGCTTTTCTCTACTCACAGTGTTTTTTCCTTCAAAGTATGTCTGAGTGTAGAGCAGTCTTACATGTGTTTTGATTTTGACAGAAATACTTATAGTTGCTACTTAGCTGCCAGCATCCATTGTTGGGACCACAGTTTTCTACCTTATTGGATATACTTGAGTGTGAGGTTTCTCCTTCCTCTTTCCACCCCATTAGGTTGTATGTTTGCTTTCACTTTGTAGAGGTTAGTCAGCAGCTTCAGGCTGTAGGGACATTGTATGCTAATCATGTTACCTTATTTCCTTTTGTGAGCCTGGGTGTGTATTTGGGGTTAGAGCGATGTTACCGTAGGGAGAGTGGTCATTTGAAATCAGAAGTGGTATCTTTCTGTGGCTGAAGGTGATAGTAACTGAAAAATTGTTTTTAAGTTTAAAGCCTGTTTGTCGCTTTGGTCACCTTCTGCTCTGGTGTGTTTGAACCCAAAAGGCTATTTTTGTGCTGTTCATTTTCCCCCAGATCACCTGATGCTTGCATAGAAATGTGCTTCATCTCTTCTTTTTCAGCAGCTATTTGAGAACATTGTTGTTGTAATCTTTAAATCAGATTTTTAAAATTGGAGAATGTCTATTAATAGCCTCTTGAGCTCTCATCCACCCTCCCACCCCCAAGCTTGTTCTTTGTATAGACTTTCCTCCCTGAAGGATCATGCATGCAATACTGATGTTTCGCTGCTGTGTGCTTTATCTCCAGTGCTACCTTGCTCTGGCCAAAGGAGGCTTGTCTGATGACCATGTCCTTATCCTGCCCATTGGACACTACCAGTCAGTGGTGGACCTTTCAGCAGAGGTGGTGGAAGAGGTGGAGAAATACAAGGCTACATTGAGGAGGTTCTATAAGAGTCGAGGGAAACGGTGTATTCTATTTGAGAGAAATTATAAGAGCCATCACCTCCAGCTTCAGGTAGGTGGTCTCTGCCCAAGATCTTGGACAGGACCCTATGGGGACCTAGATACCGAGAAATATTTAAATAATGCCAATTCCAATATTTAAACAATTAAATATTGATTAATATTTGATTCCAATAAAAATAAATATTCTATATTAAAATTTTTTAACATGAATTTTCACATTAATATTTAAATAATGTTCATTTAAAAGGTTAAAGCTTCTACTGGTAACTCTAGAGATTTCACAGGGAAGCGCATTTTTAGTATAAGTGAACTGCACACACAGTAAGTGCCTTGTTTTAGAAAAGGAATGGGTAGTTCAGGAAGGTTCTAAGAAGGATTTAGGCCTTGACAGGTAGAGTTTGGAAGAGATTAGCTATTCTGTGTGAAGCCCAACGTAAGTGACTGCTCAGAGGTAAGAGAGTCTCAGAGCTTGCATGGGGCTAGCAGCTCAGTCATTTGGAGATAGTTGTAATTAATTTGTTTGTAATTGTGGTGGTTTTCTTTCTGGCACATTTGTTAAGTTTTCAAATGGGCCTGACTCTGCCACATATATTATATAGGAGCTGGCAAAGGCTTGATGACAAAGAGATCGCTCTCTAGCCTTTCCCGCATGTGGAAATTGGCTCCCACATGTGACAGGCTATCTCATAAGTTTAAGTCCTTACAGGCAGGCTGACATGGGCCTGTCTGGCCTGAGGAGAATCTCTGCTGAGGGGTATTTCCCCACCCCTGTGATGGATTTGCTGCTTCTCAGGAACCACAGGAGGCACGACCTCTCTGGGACCTGCATGAAGAATTCTCTTACCTCCCCCACCCCCATCCCAGGTCATTCCTGTGCCGCTGAGCTGCTGCACCACTGATGACATTAAAGACGCCTTCATCACCCAGGCACAGGAGCAACAGATGGAACTGCTGGAAATCCCAGAGCACTCTGACATCAAGCAGGTAAAACAGGAGGGGAAGGGGATGGTCAGGGAGAAGTAAAAACCTAGTTTCTGACACGACAAGCCTGAGGTACTATCAAGGCATTTCAAAAATGTTAAATAGCCAGGCGACAGTTTGGAACAAGAGCTTGGAGTAAGGATTAGATTGGAGACAAAGATAGCATTACAGCAGTGCCTCAGTGCTTCCTGGGAAGAGCAAGAAATTAGAAACTTCCTGAGGCAGGAACTTAGAAAGATGGGTGCCACTGGGAGGATCTTTGTTGCATCTGCCAGTTTGGCTTCTTAAACTCTAGTTTCACTGAGTGGCTTGGGAGCTATAGTTCCTTAATCCTATGTGCTTCTAGACTGAAATTTTTGCCAAATTAAAGCTTTTAAGAGGTAAGCTAGGATTTTAGATTTTTAAAGCACTACTGTGTGTCCTCATGCAGCTCTGTTTATTTTAGATTGCACAGCCAGGAGCAGCGTATTTTTATGTTGAACTTGACACAGGAGAGAAACTTTTCCACAGAATTAAAAAGAATTTTCCTTTGCAGTTTGGAAGGTTTGTATAGTGTTCTTATTTTTATTTATTATTATTTTTTAAATACTCACCTGAAGACATGCTTATTGATTTTAGAGGGAAGTAGGGGGAGGGAGAAAGAGAGAGAAAGAAACATCGATGTGAGAGAGAAACATCGATCATTTGCCTCTCTTACATGCCTTGACGCAGAACCAAACCCATAGCCTAGGCATGTGCCACGACCTGGAATCAAACCTGTGGCCTTTCGGTTTATGGGATGATGCTCCAACCAAGTGAGTCACCTTGGCCAGGGCGTAGTTTTCTTATTTTAAATATATTCCCACTAGACCTTCTCTGGACAGAGTAGTGGCTGAATGGACAGTTAAATAAAAAGCGAAATAGGAAACAGCTCTTGCCCTAAGGAAGCAAGAGTCTTAGGGCAAGTCAGGTGTTTACATATATGACAGTAATGTGAAAAGGACCCTAACAAAGTTTTGAGGAACAATGTATTTTGGAAATTCAGAGAAGGAAGAGCTTATGTCAGATAGGTGAAAGTCTTCATGAAAGGGTTGAGGTTGTACCTGAGCGATTTAGAGGCCAAACATTGGACTGTCAGAATTCTAGCCTGAGGGAAGAGAGTGCTACCATTAAAATCAGATTTTTTGGTAGATTTGGTAAATTAAACATATGCTGTGTCAGGCCCTGTGCCAAGAGCTTTCTGTGCATTGCCCCATTTAATCTTCCCAGCTCTGTAAGGTAGGTACTATCATCTCAATTTACCAGTGTGGAAAATTAGGCTTTAGAATAATACCTAATAGAACTTTCCACAATATTGGAAATGCTCTACAAATCTGCTCTGTCCTATGCAGTAATCACTAGCCACAAGTGGCCACTGAGCACTTGAAATGTGGCTGATGTGAGTGAGGAACTGAATTTTTAAATTAAATTAATTTGGATTAAAATTTAAATGTCTGTATATGAGTACTGCTCCTAGAGCATGGCTCGAGTGTGGCTAGGTAGTTTGTCCATGGTCACATGGTGGTAGGTTCAAATCCAGGAGTGTTGGACCACAAAATGGGAGGTCTTAACCTCATTATTCTGTAGTGTCCTAGAGTTTCGAATTCATTTCTTCTCATATCAGGCAGAACGTAACAGCAACACCGTACAGGGAGTGGTATGAACTAGGCAAAGACTACAGACAGGAATTTGCTGACCAGAAGAGAGGGAGTATTGAGGAGAGTCATCTCCATACATCTGGAGGACAGATTATCTGTTGCTGGTGTCTGTAATTTGCAACTGTTTTTTTTTTTTTTCACCTTAGTTAGAGCTGAGCTTTGAGTCAACCTTGAGCCCTTCTTGGTCTACTTTGGAAAGCCCCCAAGAGATTGCCACCATTGGATAAGTCCAGGACATGTAGTTGTCTACATTTTCAGAAATATAATTGACAAGTGAACAGCTGTGTCACCTCTGATATTTCTGGCACCGGGGGCTGCCCTCATTCTCCTGTGCCATGTCTCTTAAGTACCAATAAATAATGTTTCAGGTTGTTCAGAGAAGTAAATGGGATTTAAGGGTCAAGAAAGAGGGAGGCTGACTGGTGTGGCTCAGTGGGTTGGGCGTCACTCCAAAAGCCAAAAGCATTTGCAGGCCAGGTTCCCGATTGGGGGTGTGCGAGTGGCAACCAATTGATGTTTCTTTTGCATATTGATATTTCTCTCCCTCTCTTTCTCCCTCCCTTCCCCTCTCTCTAAAAGTAAATAGATAAAATCGTTTCTAAAAAAAGAAACAAGAGATAGGACCTGGGCTGGTCACTTAAAATGGGTGTGATTTTGATAGACAGAATGGCAGAGATGGGACTAAAGGAAGAGAAAACGGTATGAGTAAAGTCAGAGAGATTTGCATGCCTTCTTTGAGTGATGTTGAGGAGAGCTCTCTGGCTGGAGAGGAAAGGGGCAGGGGGTGGTTTCAAACTGATACTGTCTATTTAGACTTCGTGTTTTTTCTGCAGGGAGGTCCTGGCAAGTGAAGCCATCCTTAATATTCCTGACAAGTCTGACTGGAGGCAGTGTCAGATCAGTAAGGAAGAGGAGGAGACCCTGGCTCGCCGCTTCCGGAAAGACTTTGAGCCCTTTGACTTCACTGTGGATGAGTGAAGTTTTCTAAAGAAATTACAGTCTCCTGTGGGGACTGTTTCCCTGCCTCTTTTTGGTACATTCCCATGGAACCTGTCTGCACCAAGAGGCCTAAAATGGAATATTTTTCAGAAAAAGTCACATTCTAGGATGAAAGTCTTATGCTAAAAGCATATTTGTCATCCAACTCCAAGTATAGCTTTTATCAACATCTTTGAAAACATTTAAATTATCAAATAAAATCTAGATACTTTTCCATGGTTGGGAGGTGTCTTTATGTTAACCTATAACCATTGAAATGGAGTAGAGTGTGTGTGTGTGTGTGTGAGAGAGAGGAGGAACCAGGGCTTTAGGTCTAGCTGTTATCCAATCATCTCATAGGTGCCTTTCCCCCTGAGCAGCCTAGGATGGAGAAGGGACCCAGGTCCTTTGCCATTTTTATAGCATTCAACTTACTGATATAAAAAAGCTCATTCAGTCTTTCAGCAAATATTTAACTCCTATGTGCCAGGGCTTTTTTAGGCTCCAGGATGTCCCAGCATGGTCTCTGTTGTCCCAGTTTATAGTCTAATTGGGAAGAAAAGGGACTGATTTAAAAGAATATTTCTGCTTTAGTTATGTTGAGTTGTAGTGTGCTGCTGGATTGGTGATAGGGTTTTGGGGATCATCAGGGTATTGGCCACAGGCGAAATTATGAGAATGGATGAAAATAAGATAGGGTAAATACATTCCTAAGCTGAGGATGACTATCTTGGAAATAGAGTGATCCAACAAGTATATGGAGAAGGAGCGGGGAGAGACATCACAGGAGAATGCCATATCTTGCAAGCCAAAAGAAAAATAATTGCTCCTATATATTGGGCACTCATAGCCTAGACACTATTTCACTTACTCCTCGCAAAATATCTATGAGGTAGGTATTATTACCTCCATTTTATACATAAAAAAACAGACTGGCAAACTTAGAGATCATGGAACCTGGAATCAACCAGCTCAGAATTTTAAAAAAGCTATGCAATGTCCACTTGAAGAGGGATGTCGGAGAGTGAAGTGTGGGAAACAACCAGGTTCCCGCAAAGATGGCTGCTTAGGGTTAGCCAATCAGAATCCTCAGGTCCTCAGTATGTCTCCCTGGCGCCTCCAAGAGAGAATTAGATTTCTCCCTCCTGTGGAGATCACACCTTTGAGTGCTACGCTGTACACCTTGCAAATGAGGGCTTCATACTGTTAGTACAATTCATGTCACAATCATCACTGCAGTCTGCCCAGCTCTAAGGAATGTGTTCTTGGAGGTAACATTTACAATCACCTCGAAGTCTGATACTCCAGTTCTACGGCTACCAAGCAACTATGGGAAACCAGAATTTCCAATACCACACGTTACCAGTGATCTATACAACATGACTCAGTTTTTATCATGCATACTTAACAGCCTGATTGCACTATTCGAGGAGGTGACGGAAGACACATTTGTTCTGCCAAGAGCAGATACAGTGTTTTCAAAACAGCTGAGACATTGCTGTGGTGCAGACACTATCCACCTTTAAACCTCCAACATGTTAAATTTGAGGTGGCACAAAGTGTTAGTAGGAATTCCAAGTAATCAGTTCACAAGCTGAGCTGGTCCAAGTGCACGTAATCTCAAAGGAAACTCAAATGAGTCTGCCTAATGCCGCTGACACATTTCTTCAGAGAATTTGATTCCATGATGATTGAGGAGATCCCCCAATTCTGGTGAAGTGTATGACTGACTCAAAGTGAAAATGGGGGATCGGGTTCCCCTGTGCCAGGCAATCTGCCACTGGAAGTACTTTTTTTTGTTTTTGTTTTTTAAAGATTTTTATTTGTTTTCAGAGAAAGGGGAAGGGAGGGAGAGAGGGAGAGAAGCATCATTTGGTTGTCGGTATCAATTGGTTGCCTCTTATAACTCCCCCAACCTGGGACCTGGCCGCAACCCAACCCTGACTGGGAATCCAACCTGGGAGCAGGCCCGCGCACCAGCCACTGACAACGCCAGCCAGGGCTGGAAGCGCTTTTTTTAAAATTCATTTCTTTTAGAGAGGAAGAGGGAGGCACAGAAAGAGAGAAACGTTGATGTGAGAGGGAAACATCAGTTGATTGCTTTCTCCTATGTGCCCTGACAGGATTGAATCCACAACCTTAATATTTGCCCTGACTGGGAATCAAACCCTTGATCTTTCTATCCACGTGATGATGCTCCAACCAACTGGGCCACACCAGCAAGGGCTGGAAGCACTTCTTGATGTATTAACAGTATTTCCCAAGCTTGCCTCTGCAGCCCTGCATCACCCATGAGACAATCCCCATAATGAGGAAACTTCTGACTAGGTTTCCTCATTGCCAGTGCGATGAGGTAGAAAACTAGGTTTCCTACCGCACTGTCAAATCCCTAACTAAGACCACTTGACAGCAAGCTCTGAAACATTTTGGGGAAAGCTCCTGAAGCCAGGGGGAACATTACTTACTTTGGGACAGCATCACATCCTTGAGTCGTTTGGGATTATAGGGGATATCCTGAAACAAGTGTATAGGAAGGCAAGCAAAAGAGGAGCTGGGCCTGACTCGTCCATGGACGATGATTAATCATTTAAGGGGAAAAACGTGAACTGCGAAGGCCAGTTAATAATGCACCAATGGGCCCGTTAGCGCAGGATTCTTTCTAGTTCTTCAGATTCCGCAGTATTTAAATCACAGACGGCCTTTGCCAGTGTTAGCTCAGTGGGTGTTGGGGTTGGCGGATAGGTGGTAGAGGTCTGCAGGTGATAGGGGTGGAACGATGTGAAGCTTAGAGAAGAACAATACGGGACAGACTGGTTTGGAAAGTGATCTGAAGGGATGTACGGCCTGAAAAAAACAAGTGGGTTCTCAGCTAGGAAAATGCCCACGGTACTTAGCGGATAGAAAGCGCCCTCCTTCTCTAACCCACCTTCTCTGCCACAGGTAGCTACGGCCCACCAGGGGAAATTGCGGGCGGGGCTTTTCCTGCGGCAGTTACCGGAAGTGACGCATCTGTATCGCGAGAAGAGAGACGCGCGAGCCTCGGCAGCCCGGAACCGGCCTTGGAGCGTTGGTGGAACCTGAGAACGTTTGCCCTCCCGCCCCATGGAGCGGCCCCCGGGGCTGCGGCCGGGCGCGGGCGGGCCCTGGGAAATGCGGGAGCGGCTGGGCACCGGCGGCTTCGGAAACGTCTGCCTGTACCAGCATCGGGTGAGGCGGGGCGCGAGAGGGAGCGGCGGTGGGTGTTTGTCAGAGCGTCTAGAACACAGCGACTGTCAGTATGTGAAACATCGGTGAGATCTTGGCAGTATTGTGGCCAGTGAGCCTCTGTGTATGTTCGTGTGTGTGTGTGTGTGTGTGTGTGTGTGTGTGTGTGTGTGTGTGTGAGAGAGAGAGAGAGAGAGAGAGAGAGAGGGAGAGAGAGCGCGCGCGCGTGAGAGCTTGGTGACTGAGACTGAGGTCCTAGGTCAGCGTGTGTGAGATAGAGCTATTAAGAAGTAATATTATGAGTGTCAAGATGTAACAAAGTGTTCACCGAGTGTGACAGGGCATATGTGTCCCAGTGAAGGTAGAGAGTGTCAGGATGTGTGAAGCAGGTGCAACGTCAGAGTGTATATTGTGAGTACGAGTGCATGAGAAAATGGGGCTTAAGAGGGGGCTTCCTATTGGAATCTCTCTGCACTTGTCTATGCTTGGAGGTCATGTGATATCAGTGGGGCTGGAGTAGACAGAGAAGGTTTCCTGGTGGGTCTATTGTTAAGCTTTTGGAAACATTGGAGAGACCTTGGAATTGGAAATGGGTTCCAGATAGGAAACAGTATGAGGATCTGCTATTGAAAATGATCATGGATTCACAAGGGAAGGAGATAGATGGGGGCAGGGGAGGGGGGACAAGATGTTCTAGTCGTGGAAGATAGCTAACATCTGACTCAGGAATTGTATGATTTAATTAAAAATGTTTAAACAGTGTAGTGGCAGTTAATAATCATGTTTGTGTTATGCACTTCTTGATATAAAAGTTATGAACCCTTTCCTTAGAAAAATTCACTGAGGTACATCCATGCAACCTTGTGCATTGCCATTTGAGGAAGTTCATGCTTTCCTGAAGGACATTCACAGCCCTTTATAGATGTATAGATTCTGGACCAATCACCCCTGAAGTACATAGCCTTTATTTTGGCATCTGTAAAATGGTTATAATAATGTATGTGAGTCTAACAGTTAAATAAGATAACGTGTGTGGCTAAGTACAGTACCTGGGCCCAGGGGTGTCCAACCTGTGGTCTGAGGGCCGCATGTGGCTCAGGATTGCTATGAATGCGGCCCAACACAAAATCGTAAATTTACTTAAAACATTATGAGATTTTTTTGTGTGTGTGATTACATGTTACAATGTATTTAACGTGTGGTCCAAGACAACTCTTCTTCCAGTGTGGCCCAGAGATGCCAAAAGGTTGGATGCACATGTTTCCAACTTGGTAAGGTCCAACCAGGACCTGGTCCTGGCCTGTGATAAGCCCTCAGATGTTACCTTCCGCTGTTGCTGTGTTGTTGGTATCATCAGTTGACCTTAAGAAAGGAAATGCCAAAACAAAAGTGGTGTTCATGGAAGATTTTTTTGTGAAAGACATATCTGAGTGGTGAACTTATGCGACAAGATGAGCAGTTAAAATAATACTAAAATGCTTGCAGTTGGCCTGTGAATCGAGAAGTGAATTCAAGAGGACACATCATGATTTGCTGTCTTAAGATATACAGATGTGGGTGGAGAGCCCATAATATAGGGTGAGAGGTAGAAGAAATGGGAGTGTACCTGGAATAGGCATGTTTGTGTGGCAGTACAATGACAAATGTCACTGATAGAACTGAAGAAATTTGTGAGGTAGATTTCCAGATAGAACATAAGAGGAAATCTTCGAGAGAGGGAGAATGGAAGATGAAGACTAAGGCATTAAGTACTTTGACAGCCAGACAAATAGTAAATTTAATAATTCTCACCATCAGAGAGGACAGAAATGTACTCTAAAGCAAAAAGAGGAAAAGCCAAGTACTTCCAGCAGATGTTGCCCATGGCCTTTTTATCTAAGCTTGGTCGTAGGAACAAAAAGTATGCACGCTGGCATGCTTTTCCGACCGCTTTTCTTGGTCCTTGGCTGCGGATGGATGAATATATCACTTAAAAAAAAATACAGTGAAGTGTGTGTGTGCGTGCGCGTGTGTGTGTATATAAAGTTTATCATTTTAACCATTTTAAGTGTGCAGTTCAGATGCATTAAGTATATTCACATTGTTGCGCCACTGTCACCATCATTCACTTCCAGAACTTTGTCATGTTCTGAAACTGAAACTCTATACCCATTAAACAGTGACTCCCCGTTTCCTCTTCCCAGGAGCCCCTGACAACCACTGTTCTTTCTATCTCTGTTGAATTTATCACTTTCTAAATGGAAGAGATTTGGTTTCTGTAGTATCTCAGAACTCTTTCAGGAGCTTTCCAGGTGCCAGAGTGGACTTCCCCAAAACTGGGACATTTGACAGCTGGACCCATGTTGAGAAGAGAACAAATACCCTGTCATAAGGCTTGGAAACAGCATCATTACTTTTCCAAGCCCTGACTTAGCACTTGCATTTACAGCCTTCAAGATGCTTGTGTTTTAATGGAAGCCACATCCCAATATTCTACACCTCTTTAGTCGTAATAAGGAAGAGAAAAGGATATGAGATAGTTTGTTTAGCTGATTACTGTGCTGGGGCTGACTGTGCCCAAATCAACAAAAACAGTATTTTCTACCCTCAAGGAGATTTCAAGTCTAGTGGGGGAGATAGACACAGAAACACTTTCAAGTACAATCCAGTAGCCTCATATTGATTGTATTTGTAAAGTAATGTGGAAGCATGGCAAAATAACCAATGAACTCTTCCTAGGGAATACAGTAACACTTCTTACTCCATGAAACATTTTTTAAAAAGGATACTATAGTCAAATAAATTGGGTAATTGCTGCATGCATAACATTCTTTCATTTGAAGAGTCACAACCCACATTAGCATATTAAAAGCTCTGAGAACTCCTATTGTAAAGAAATTAATTGAACTTAGTATTTTTTTTATTGTGGTAAAATATACGTAACTTTACCATTTTAACTATTTTTACAGACTGTATTTATTTTTTTTTAGAGAGGGGGAAGGGAGGGAGGAAGAGAGGGAGAGAAACATCGATCAGTTGCCTCTCATACAGGCCCTGACCAGGGACCAAATCCACCACACAGGCATGTGCCCCAACAGGGAATTGAACCGGCAACCTTTCACTTTGCAGCTTGATGCCCAACTGTCTGAGTCACATTGGTCAGGACCACTTTAACCATTTTTAAGTGCACAGTTCTGTGGCATTAAGTACATTTACAATGTTGTACAACCATCACTATCGGTCTCTAGAATAGTCCCTTTTTTTTAAAACCCTCACCCAAGGATATGTTTATTGATTTGTAGAGAGAGAGAGAAACATTGATCTGTTGCCTCCTGTATATGCTCTGACCAGGGATTGAACCAGCAACCTAAGTTTGTGCCCTCACTGGGAAGTGAAACCGCAACACAACGCTCCAACCAACTGAGCCACCTGGCCAGGGCTGTACGGAGCTGTTTTTAATTTATTGCTGGACACCTATAAATGTTCCACAGAATACCATTGGTGAAAAGGTAGAGTGAGAAAGGCCTTTAAGAGCAGGTGAAATAGAAACCACGGAGCTGAAGGATCTTACAGAAGAGGATCTTTTTGAAATAGCTTCCTGCCTCTTACATATGAGAATTTGGGTTTAATGTTCATGGATGTACCAGATTATTTCCATGGTGGTAAAAGCTTACTTGAGATCTAACTAAAACAAGGTACCTGCTTAAAACCAAAGAAAGGTTGAAGGGTGTGAGGACTGTGGGTAGACTAGATTGTAGTCTTAGTTCTTTCCTTTTCTCTCTGTGTATCTACTGTCTTATCTCCATCTTCTTCCTCCCACCCTCCACCCCTACTCCATTTGGACTATCCTATACAAGTTGTATCTTGCTTCCTCATTTCAGTTAGAATTGGGTAAATTACTAGTCATAGGCGAGATTTGTTAGGTTCATTTTTATAAATATGGAAACATACAATTATTAGGATTTTTTATGTCATTAGAAATACAAAGAAATCAGGAACTAATTTGGACTTTTTTGTATTAGGTTTGATTATATTAAAACTATTTCTTGCTATTGAGGCTAGAGAACCCTGAATTATCCTCTTCATTCTAGTTCTGTTGGAGGCTGATGCCCTTGTTAGCTTTCTTGCTCAAAAAGGGGTTTGTTGGGGCTCTTCATGAAGATGGTGCCCAAAGTCAAGAAGGAAGCCCCTGCCCTCCCAAAGCCAAAGCCAAAGTCAAGGCAAAGGCTTTGAAGGCAAAGAAAACAGTGCTAAAAGGCTTTCACACCACACACAGACACACACATGCACAAAAGAATCCGCATGTCATCTACTTTCTGGAGGCCTAAGACACTGGGGCTGCAAAGGCAGCCTAAATATCCTTGGTAGAGCGCCCCCAGGAGAAACAAGATGAACCACTACGCTATCATCAATTCCCCCTGACTACTGAGTCAGCCATGAATAAGATAGAAGACAGCAATGCACTTATGTTCATTGTGGATGTCAAAGCCAACAAGCACCAGATCATACAGGCTGAGAAGAAGCTCTATGATACTTAAGTGGCCAAGGTCAACGTCCTGATCAGGCCTGATGGAGAGAAGAAGACATATGTTCGACTGACTCCAGAGTGTGATGCTTTGGATGTTGCCAACAACATTGGGATCATCTAGACTGAGTGCAGCTGGCTAGTTCTAAATATAAAAATTTTACACTATAAGAAAAGGGAGGGTTTTATTGGGGAGACCTTTCTTTGTATTTTCCAGCAGTATATTATGAGACAGTCTTCTGAAGAGACCTGTTTTAGGATTAGCCTCAGTCATTTTTTGCTTGTGTGCTTTGGTGTGTTTGTTCAGCTTTAGAGCATCGGTTCTCATGATTTACCTAGCAAAAACATTGGTTCATGAGAGCTGTGGATAAATATGTTTAATTAGTAAATCTAAAGAGTTTTGTTTCTCCAGGTTGGCATTTCTTGGATAGCAAGTAAATCTGCGCAAGAACCTCATTTATATTTTTTTCTGTTGATTTTCTGTTTTGGTAGGAACTTGATCTCAAAATAGCAATTAAGTCTTGTCGCCTAGAGCTGAGTACCAAAAACAGAGAACGGTGGTGCCATGAAATCCAGATCATGAAAAAGTAAGTACTTGTTTCCCAAGTCTGCAGCCTATCCTGGTGTCATCATAAAGGAGGCTAGGAATCCATTCTTCTTATCTTTTTGGGAATATATTTTTCTCTTTCTCACTAAATAGATGTGTTCTATTTCAAATACTAACATCACGTTATGATTAATTAGGGTTCGTTTAAAAAGTCAGGTAGGTATTATTTAGGTCTGTAAGGGCTGAATCTGTTCTGAATCTTGGGCAATGCTCATCTATTTACTTTCTAGTTAAATAACAGTAAGTGTATTCTCATTTCTTACTTTCACCTACTTTTGTTAAATAGTGTATCTAGTATTTGATAAAAAGTTACCCCAAGACTTACTGGCTTAAAACAACAAACATTTAGAATCTCACAGTTTCGTGGTTTAAGAATTTGGGGTGACTTACTTGGGTGGTTTTAATGTTGATCTCTCCTGAAACATCTCAGAATGTTGACTGGAGCTGTAGATACCCAAAGGCTTGCGTGGGGCTGGAGTATCCACTTCAAGCTCATTTATATGGCTATTGGCTAGAGGCATCAGTTTATCATATGGGCCTTTTTACAGGAAAGCTTGAATGGCTTCATGACATGGCAGCTAGCTTTCTTCAAAGAGAGTAATCTGAGAGAGAAGTCAAGATGAAAGCTGACACATCTTTTATGATCTTTCCTTGATAGTTTTACTCCATCCTTTCTGCTGCATTCCATTTGTTAGAAATGAGACAGTAAGTACAGCCCACACTCAAGGGGAGAATTCAGCTCTTAATGGGAGAAATGGACATGTTTTAAAACCTCCACAGGTCGTGTGCTAAGTGCTTTACAGATAATTCTTCAGGTTGCCACAGCAACGGTGGATTTAGGTATTATTCCTATTTTATAGATGAGGAAGTTGAAGCTGATAGAATCATAAAATTGGTAAGTAAGAGAGCCGGGCTTTGAAATAAGCACTTTCTGACTTCAGTATCTTTTTTTTCAGTTCACTTTAAAGCTTCTCAAACTTGGCTTTATGGCAGAATCACCAGGAAAGCTTGGCAACAATAAAACTTTTCAGGTCCTACATGTAGAGATTATGTTTTTTTAGGTCCCTAAGCCCTGGGAATCCATTCCAGTTTTGAGATCCACTGCATGATGATGATGATGATGGCTGGGTTGACGCATTTAAAGTTAAAAAAGATATTAGAAAACAAAATATAGTATTTATATATAAAAAGATATTAAAACAATATATAGCATTTATATATGATGTAGTATTTATAATGATGTAGTATTTATTGAGAGACATTTTAGTGCACAGATTAAAAACTGGAAGGAAATATGCCAAAATTTTAATAGTATTCACCTCTCTCTCAGTAATTCTTTGATTATGGTAGAGGCAGTCTGATAGAGGCTTAGGAGCCAGACTGCCAGATTTTAGTCCTTAATTGACCACCTGCTTGCTGTGTGATCTTATGTTATTTAACCAATTTGTGTTTCAGCTTTCTCCTATGTGATGAGACTTTTAATAAATCTACATAGTAGGATTGTTATGACAAGTGAGTTAATGTACAGAAGGTGCTTAATACTTGGTATATAGAAATATAGTTGTAGTAATAGTGATAGTATTTTTGTATTTTCTTTTAAAAATTACTAATTTTTAATCATACAAACAAGAAATTAGAATATTACAAATAATGCCAGCCTTCTCTCACTGCCCCTCAATTAACTACCATTTCAAACCTAGTCCCTTTTCATTGGAAAAAATTTTTTTAATTATTATGTTTCCCCTTTTTGTTAGGTTGAACCACTCCAATGTTGTAAAGGCCTGTGATGTTCCCGAGGAATTGAATTTTTTGATTAATGATGTGCCTCTTCTAGCAATGGAATACTGTTCTGGAGGAGATCTCCGGAAGGTAGTATGGATGTTTTGAGATGATGAGATAGTAAATCATGAACTTAACAGTGTTTGAATCATGTTCAGTATGATAATCTAGAATCATGGTCATTAAACTGTAGCCTGTTAACTGTTTTTATGGCTGCTTTTTTACTACAGTGGCAGCATTGAGTAGTTGTGACAGAGACCATATGGCCTGGAAAGCCAAAAGTATTTATTGTCTGTCTTTTTACAGGGAACGTTTGCTGACCCCATATTTAGAACGTGCATTCTTTTGGTGGTGGTGGTGTTTACAGGATGTGGCTATATTGGTGGTGTTAGATAAAAATATCAATGTTTAGGGTGTTTATTAAAATTTTTTTTTTCAATTACAGTTTACTTTCAGTGTTATTTTATATTGGGTATAGGTGTATAGCATAGTGGTTAGATAATCATATACTTTACATAGTGATCCCCTAGATATTTCTAGTACCCAGCTGGCACCATAGATAGTTATAGCAATATTATTGACTCTATTCCCTATACTTTACATCCCTGTGACTGTTTTGTAACTGCCAATTTTTACTTCTTTTTTTTTAAAGATTTGATTTATTTATTTTTAGAGAGAAGGAAAGGGTGGGAGAAAGAGGGAGAGAAATGTCAATGTGAGGTTGCCTCTTGTGTGCCCTCTACTGGGGACCTGGCCTGCAATCCCGGCATGTGTCCTGACTGGGAATTGAACCATTGACCATTTGCTTCACAGGCTCGTGCTCAATCCATTGAGCCACACCAGCTAGGGCACAATTTTTACTTCTTAATCCCTTCCCCTCTTTCTCCTAATCCCCCTCCCCAAAAAGTTTTTTTCTCTGTTGCAAATATTCTCATCTTATTTCAAATCTACCGTATGGATTATATATATGAATGAGATTTTTCAACCTTTTTCAATTTCAAATACTTCCTTCACCTTTACTTGTATAAGCCTTGTCCTGAAATTTACATGTTCTCTGAGTGGATTCAGTAAGTTTCCCCCTCTTATATTTTCTTAATGATGACTTATTTTTTTAACTTTGACTATTCTCTTAGAGTGTAATGATTAGTGTGTTACTGTTACTGCCCAGCAACATTGATTATATATATAATTTTTTTTCTTTTAGCTACTCAACAAACCAGAAAATTGCTGTGGACTTAAAGAAAGCCAGATACTTTCTTTACTGGGTGATATAGGTATGTAATCAATATGAAAAAAACCATCATAATTTAATGCCCCCTTGGTCCTTAAAATATTCCGTATACTACTATAAAGCATAGATTTTTAGCATCTATAAGAAATTATCAGAAAAATTTAAGTGTTATTGTTGATGCTAAGTTAATTTACTAAGATATTTTGTTACTTATTTTTTGTTTTTGGCTAATAAATGCTCTAGGTGTTGACCAAAAAAAATGGAGTGGGGAGTGTTAAATGACCTAATTTAATTTTATTCTCCCTTCCTCCTTGATTAGCATAGTAATTTTATTTAACAGTGGCATTTCATCTGTTAAATAGGTTCTCAAGTCAACTGTAAGGGTGAAATCTCTTTAATATGAATGACTCCTGAAAATTCCCTAAAATAATCATTATGTAGGCCCTTGGAACAAACTAAAATCCAAAAATGTGTTTCCCTATGTATTTTGATTTTGCTTCTTTTCCTGGGTCATGGAGGCCAAAGCCTAGTTGAAGAGGGAGGGGAAAGCCATAAGGATAAGTATAGAGTTTTTCTAAAATTCTTGTTCCATTTCTTTTTAATGTTAATTCTCATAAGTTAAATGGGCATATAATCATTCTGCAGTATTTGTTAAATGTTACTGGATTTTCTATGGAGAAAATTTGAACTGCTGTAATATTAATTGAGTAGCTATGATAGTCTATATAAATTTGAGCATTAGAGAAGTACAAAATGTGAGATGAAATTTTTTTTAAATTCAGTGCTTTCTTTTACCTCAAATCACCTTTTAAATGTTATTTAGGATCTGGGATCCGATATTTGCATGAAAACAAAATTATACATCGTGACCTAAAACCAGAAAACATAGTTCTTCAGGATGTTGGTGGAAAGGTAGGTGAAAACTGAAGAAATGTTCCATGCCGATTGAATTCAGTACCCTGAGGTAGTCAGTCTTTGAGGTTTGATGCCCTTCCACAGCACTCTTATTTTTTCTACACAGCCCTCACTACACTGAACTGTGGTTTTGTGTTTAATTGTTTGTCTCCCCTTCTAACACAGTAGCTCCATTATAGAAGGAACTGCACATGCCTTGTTCACTTCTGTTTTTCCAACACAGTATCTAGCAGAGATTGTAGGCAGTGAGTAAATTATTTATTAATCCTAAGGAAGCATATTTAAAAAAAACCACATACATCTGTTGTACTTTAAGGAATGAAAGTACATTTACTTAAATATTGGGTTGGCCAAAAAGTTCATTTGATGTTTTCCTTAAGATGGTTTTAATAGTGCTTGGTTGTCTTTAACTCCATTTGAAACAATTTTGTTAGATTGTATTGTGACAGCTGTCATTATCAACGTACATTAAAAAAAAAAATCAAAATTGGTGAATATTTTTTTGCCCTGGCTGGTGTTGGTCAGTAGATTGAGTGCCGGCCTGCAAACCAAAGGGTTGCTGGTTCAATTACCAGTCAAGGCACGTGCCTGGTTGCGGGCCAGGTCCCCAGTAGGGAGTGTGTGAGAGGCAACCACACACTGAGGTTTCTCTCCCTCTCTCCCTCCTTCCCCCTCCATCTAAAAATAAATAAATAAAATCTTTTAAAAAATTGGTGAATTTTTGTGTAGCCATTTTAATATCGAAGTTGGAAGAAAATTTTTAACAGTTTCAGCGTACTATGCTTTATTATTTCAAAAAAGGTCAAAACGCAAGTGAAGCACAAAAAATGACATCTGCAGTGTCTGGAGAAGGTGCTGTGACTGATTGAATGTGTTGCAAAGATTTGTGCTGGAGATTTCTTGCTGGACAATGCTCCATGTTCAGGTAGATGAGTTGAAGTCGATAGCAATCAAATAGAGACATTTGAGAACAGTCAATGTTATACCATACAGGAGATTGCTGACATACTCAGAATACCCAAATCAAAAAGTTATTGGTGGAAATGAAAAATGTGTGTATTTTACAGAAAAAACCCTAAGGACTTTTTGGTCAACTCAATATGTTTTATATTAAAAACAAACCTCATTCTTCTCCACAAAGGTCCTAAGTTCTATGTTTAATTAGATACAAAACTTTGATATCAGATTCTTAAATGAGTCATCTTGAGAAGAACCAGAAATTGTGAATTAACTCCTGAAATATTTGTTTTTATCAGAATAATTTGAGTGGTTTTCTTGCTTTTAGCACTGAAGTTCCATCCCAGTAAAGACATAAAGCCAAGATTTTGAACTTGGAATTGGAATGTATGGTCTTGGGTTAGTTAAGATGATGGTCATTTGGAAGTGGTGAAACCTTGATTGTGTCTTTTAAGAGGCTTTCATGTATGCTTAGCATCAACGTCTCTCCCTCTTTTTGTATCCAAAGACTTCAGGATATTTCTGAAGTTAGATGGATATTTATTCACATCGATCCACTGTAAGAAGGTATGCTGCTGCTTCAAGTTTGGAAGTCACCTTTACTTTTGCCTTACAGTATAATGGATCAAGTTTATTCTGAATACACCAAAATAAAATTAAAAGGCAATTTATATTTAGTTTTTACTATATACCAGGCATTGTGTTAAATCCTTTTCTTTGGCTATTTCATTTTCATTGAGTCCCAGTAACAGTTCTGTGAAGTAGATATTGTTAGTAATACCACTATATAGGAAACAAAGAGAAGTTAAGTAACCTGATCAAGAACACAAGGCTAGGTAAGTGGTAGAGGTCAGGGCTGAATCACATTTGTGTTATTACACAGTGCAGGCTCTTCACCACTACCCTCTCCAGATCCTTATCAGGATATTGTTGACTTCCCATTTCAAATTTCTCAACCATTTAATGCTTATCATTTTGTAGATTATACATAAAATAATTGATCTGGGATATGCCAAAGATGTTGATCAAGGAAGCCTGTGTACATCTTTTGTGGGAACATTGCAGTATCTGGTAAGACATGTATTGTTTCTTTGAATTTAAGTATCAAGATTCTCTTTATTTCTGAAGGTCATGAATATACAGGGGTGGGCAAAAGTGGGTTTACAGTTGTATGTGAAACAGTGTATTCTATTATTATTTATTAATGTATTTTTTATTTGTATTATTTCCATATGAATAACTGTAAAACTTACTTTTGCTCACCCCTGTAATAGTTAAAAAATAAAGTAGCTTTTCTATTATTGAGTAACCTTTTAAAGCATTTTTTCTTTTTAAGGCCCCAGAGCTCTTTGAGAATAAGCCTTACACAGCCACTGTTGATTATTGGAGCTTTGGGACAATGGTGTTTGAATGTATTGCTGGATATAGGCCTTTTTTACATCATCTCCAGCCATTTACCTGGTAAGAAATGGAACAGAACTTTGGTGTACATAATGGGAATGAAAAATTTCAGTTGCCTGCTTATTTTCTCCTTTTTATCCTCTTTTTTAAGTGGTATAATTGTCTTTTAAATACATAACAGAATTAATTTTTTTTCCATTTATATGACTTTTTTAGTATATTGTATTGATTATGCTATTACAGTTGACCCAATTTTTCGCCCTCTGCCTCCCTCTATGCAGTACCCCCATTCACTCCAGTGGTTCCCTTCCTTAGTTCATGTCCATGGGTTGTGCATATAAGTTCTTTGGCTTCTCTCCATTTCCTAAGCTATTCTTAACCTCCCCCTGTCTATTTTGTACCTACCTAACTATGCTTCTAAATCCCAATACCATTTCCCCTATCCTCTCTCTTCCACCTCCCAGCTGCTAACCCTCCAAATGATCTCCATATCTGTGATTCTATTCCTGTTCTAGTTATTTGCTTAGTTTGTTTTTGTTTTTTAGATTCAGTTGTTGATAGTTGTGAGCTTGTTGTCATTTTAATGTTCATAGTTTTGATCTTCTTTTTCTTAAATAAGACCCTTTAACATTTCATATAACAAGGGCTTGGTGATCATGAACTCCTTTAGTTTTATCTTGTCTGGGAAGCATTTTATCTGCCCTTCAATTCTAAATGATAGCTTTGCTGGTTAGAGTAATCTTGGTTGTAAGTCCTTGTTTTTCATCACTTTGAATGCTTCTTGCCACCCACTTCTTGCCTGCAAAGTTTCTTTGGAGAAATCAGCTGATAGTCTTATGGGAACTACCTTGTAGGTAACTCTCTGCCTTTCTCCTACTGCTTTTAAGATTCTCTCCTCATCATTAACCTTGGGTAATTTAATTATGATGTTCCTTGGTGTGTGCTTCCTTGGATCCAATTTGTTTGGGACTCTCTGTGCTTCCTAGACTTGTATATCTATATCCTTTGCCAAATTAGGGAAATTTTCTTTCATTATTTTTTCAAATAAGTTTTCAATTTCTTGCTCTTCCTCTTTTCCTTCCAGCACCCCTATGGTTCAGACGTCGGCTCTTTTGGTGAGGTCCCTGAGTCTTCTAAAATCTCTTCATTTTATTGAATTCTTGTTTCTTCATTTTGTTCTGGTTGAATGTTTATTTCTTCCTTCTGTTCCAAGTCATTGATTTGAATCCTGGCATCCTTCCCTTCACTGATGGTTTCCTGTGAATTTTTCTTTATTTCATGTAGTATAGCCTTCATTTCTTCCCTTAAGCTCTTGTTGTATTCAGTGAGATCTCTAAGCATTCTGATCACCAGTATTTTGAACTCTGCGTCTGATAGGTTGACTATCTCTGCATCATTTAGTTCTTTTTTTGGGGTTTTGCTCTGTTTCTTCATTTGGGCCATATTTCTTTGTCTCCTCAATTTGGCAGCCTCCCTGCGTCTGTGTACTAGGTAGAGCCACTTTGACTCCCTGTCTTAATGTTTCTGTTAAGTTTTATGGGGCAAAGGCTTGGGTTTTCACAAGGGTAGGCAGCCTGTTTCACCACTTTGTGGCTCTGTGTGTATGGAAGGGGTTGAAGAGGGAACAGTGCTGCTGCTGGCTGACTTCTGGGGCCTTGCTTAGCACTCGCCCCGTTTCCAGTCACATCCCCCACTTCCCATATGTGACTGGTGCCCCTGCAGCTGCTGTTCTGGCTGTGGATCTCAGAGTGGGTGGGTTTGCATACATCCCAGGCTCTCCTGAGAAACTGGCAGTTTTTTCTGCCACTGCAACCACCCTGGTTTTTACAACCAGAAGTTATGTGGCTTAATTTTCATGGTGCTGGAACCTGGGGCTGCACAGTCTGGCCAGGGGCTGGGATCACTCACTCACAAGGTGTCCCCCTGATTTTTATCCACCACATGTGAATATGGGACCACCCATTCCACCAGCTGCTGCCATACTGCATCCTCTTCACCCTGGCTCCCAGCTCTGCCCCTCCTACCTGTTTGAATGAATATAGTTTCTTTAAATCTTTGGCTGTTGGACTTCTGTATGGTTCAATTTTCTGGCAGTTCTGGGTGATTTTCATTTTGAAATTAGTTGTGATCCTTCTTGTGATTATGCAAGGAAGTGAAGGATATCTACCTATGCCTCCGTGTTGACCAGATGTCCATATTGAATAAAATTAAATGCCAAAAATCTCAAATTACTTGGGAGTCAGGTTGCCTACTGAGGTAGGTTTTGTTTTTTATAGGCATGAGAAGATTAAGAAGAAGGATCCCAAGTGTATATTTGCATGTGAAGAGATGACAGGAGAAGTTCGGTTTAGCAGTCATTTACCTCAACCAAATAACCTTTGTAGGTAAGTATATTTCAGTGTAGGAAGTTCACCGTAGTTTCTTCAGGACTGTGAAAGGACAATAGGGTTGTCTGTTTTAAGTAACATCATCCAGTAGAACTTTCTGTGATCATGGAAATGTCTTTTATCTGCTGACCACATGAGGCTGTTGAGCACTGAAAGGTGAGTAGTGTGACTGAAGCTGAATTTTAAATTTAATTTTAATTAACTTAAGTGTCAGTTCACATAGCCACTTGTGAATAGTGGCTTCTATATTGGACGGCACAAGTCTACTAGGAACAATAGCTGCTGCCATTCAACTGATTGGCTTAGGCACTAAGAAGACTCTTGGGTTCTTTGGAGAATGGAACTGGACTTGCCTCTTGGAGTTGCCAGTAACTAACTTACATGTGTGGGTTTGGGCTGTTTTTTATGGAAGTTTGTTCCCTGTCATTTTATGAATTATTTAGAAGTAAGATAGAAAATGGTACAGGTAAGTAATGAGAAAGGAAATGGACAGCCTATAAAATTACCTTTTTTTAACTAAAGAAAATTGGAACAAGAATTTTCACCCTATTTTTGTACACTTTTTAGTTTAATAGTAGAACCAATGGAAAACTGGCTACAATTGATGCTGAATTGGGATCCTCAGCAGAGAGGAGGACCTGTTGATCCTACTTTGAAGCAGCCGAGATGTTTTGTATTAATGGATCACATTCTGAATTTGAAGGTTAGTTTGTTGTGAATTGGGTCTGTTTCATAAAACTTGAATTGATGTTAACAATTTATTTGGCAAATTAGCATAAATATATTTTAGTAATCCTTTCCTGATGCATATATGAAAAATATATTTTTAGAATGGATGTGTTTTTCTTTTTTATTTCTTTAATAGAATTTTTTAAAAAGATTTTATTTATTTATTTGAAGGGAAGGGAGGGAGGAAGAGAGAGAGAGAAACATTGATGTGAGAGATGTTGATTGGTTGCCTCTTGTACACCCCTAGCTGTGGATCTGGCCTGTAACCCAGTCATGTGCCCTGACTGGGAATTGAATGGACAACCTTTTGATTCACAGGCTAGCGCTCAGTCCACTGAGCCACACCAGGCAGGGCTGTTTTTATTTTTATAGTAAGCCTTCTCAGTTTTACTTTTTACTGGTCTTTGTTGATTACTCCTTTGAAGCATCTTTTGCTTCTCCTTCCTCAGGTTGGTGCCATTATCTCATTCATTTAGGTCTGGATTTTGTTTGGTGAGAAAGGTTTCTACCTGCCTCATGTGCCTTTATAGTTCTATTCATTTCATCTTCTGAAAATACTTTTTTATTTCCCTGTCCAAGAAACCAACATAGTTCTTCCTTGCCTAGCAAGTCAAGTCTAAATCTGCCTTTCTTTTGGGTTGCTTTCCTAATGCAGGTCCATCCCAACCAGTAACGGGCTTCTCTTACCCTTTACTTCACTCAGGACCAGCTTGTAACTGCTCCTTATAACATCAAGTTCGTTACCCATTTTTGTGCTTGAACAGATGCTGTCATTCTGCCCAGAACGATCTCTGTCTCTGTGTACCTTCTCACCTACACTGGTACATATACAACTCTCCTTTTCTGTTAATGGTTTCTGCCACAGTTTGTAATTTAATCATACTTACTATATTCTCTGTTTCTCATCTTCCACCTACTCCTCTCCCCATAGATTGTCTTCTTTAATGCTGGGATTGTTTTTACTATTTTTATTAACAATCGCCTACCCTACCACCATGCCATCCTTACCCTGGCATTTGGTATAAAGTAGAGCATGTATCAGGCTCTTGGTAAACCTTCAGTAGTACCAATGGGAGGTTCTTTTATGCTATATACCCAGAAACAGCTCTCATCTGCAATGTGCAGTTTTCCATTATTTGCTGGTTGCTTGTAGTAGATAGGTTTCTAAAATTAAGTGAGAATAATCACAAAGTTTTTATGCTAGTCTTGGAATACTTTAAAAGAAATTTTTATTATTTATTTTTAGAGAGAGCGTAAAGGAGGAAGAAAGAGAGGGAGAGAAACATCGATCAGTTTACCTCTTGCACGTACCTGAACCAGGGACCAGGCCTGTAACCTAGGCATGTGCCCTGATAGGGAATCAAACTGGCAACCTTTTGCTTAGTGGGACGATTCTCAACACAGTGAGCCACACAGGTCAGGGCTTGGAATACTTTTTAAAAATAGGAACTTAAGGCCATGTTGATGTCATTCATGACTAACATTGAAAAGATATCTGGCTTCTTGATTTGGTTTTCTTCTACTGTGCCAAGGAATAATCTGTCCTTCAATATGTTAGCCAAGCAGGACTTGGTGATACCTTTTAGTTCTCTGTGGCTTCCAGTAAATTTTGGTTTTTACCTCAGACTTTTTTCAGACTTGTCATGGTAATTGTAACATCATTTCTGTTGTACTTTGAAGGGGGTTTGTGCTCATTTGCTTGTCATAGATTATGGGAAAATGGTCCTCCCTATGTGTTTTGTGGTCTGTAGGCTTTAGTTCATTCAATTTTTAGCACCACTGCCTTAGCTGGATGGCTCTGTTGGTTAGAGCATCATCTAGTATACCAAAAAAGGTTACGGGTTTGATCCCCCATCCAGACACATACCTAGGTTGCAGGTTCGATTCCCAGTTGGGGTACATCCAGGAGGCAACCAGTCAATGTTTCTCTCTTTTCCCTTCCTTTCTCTCTAAAAAGCAATTAAAACAACAACAAAACCCACATAGCCTCTGGTGAGGATTGCAAAAAGAAAACAAAATTGTAGCGCCACTATTTATCTATCTGTGAATTTATGTCTGTATGTATGTATGTATGTATGTATGTATGTATTTATAGCTCACATTTAGTAATAGCTTCTTTAAAGGATCAGTGTTATTGTGAGGTTGTCCAGAATAAGGTATGCATAGGGTATTATTCATAGTAGTTCAGGCATGCTTCCTAGACATGATAATAGGATTGAAATTTAAAGGATAAGGAAGAATTAATCAGAGGACTGGACAGGGGAAAATATTAACAGGCAGGGGAATATCATGAACCCAGAAGAATGACCTGCAAAATAGCTTGGTATTATTGTAGGGTATTCTTCTAAGGTGTTCACCATATAGTTCAATGAGGGAAGGATGTCTACTTGATTTTCACTTAAAAACAAAACAGTTACTCCAGTGTTTCTTTTTCTTTAAAAAATAGTTTAGAGCCTGCCTGGTATGGCTCAATGGATTAAGTGCCAGCCTGTGAATCGAAACATCACCAGTATGATGCCCAGTCAGGGCACATGCCTGGGTTGCAGGCCAGGTCCCCAGTTAGGGGCATGTAAGAGGCAACTGATCAGTGTTTCCTTCTCTTTCTCCCTCCCTTCCCCTCTTTCTAAAAATAAATAAATAAAATCTTTAAAATAAAAAAAAATAGTTTAGAGGCTGATTGCGTATTTTCCAACTATTCTGAAAAACTTTAAATTTGTAGAACAGTTTTTAAAAAGTACACCAAACTTACCATTGAAGATAAGGCGAAACAGGAGTATTTAATTATTCCTTCTTTGCCTCCTCTTTTATGCCTCTAACTATGTCCTAAGAGTCTCTTCTTGGTTTTATCTTTTTCCATGTTACTTTTTCTTCCTTTTCTTTGGACATTTATTCAGTTATATAACTGTAAATAGCCTGAATATGTGTAACTCCCAAATTTTCTCCTCAGTTATGACTTTTCTGCAGAGTACTTAAAACGATTGTGTCTTATACCTAATGGTACCACAGGCACCCAAGACTTAACTATTTTTAAATGGAACACAATTTGCTTCATTAAATCTATCTCTACAGGTTTTCCTGTGCCTCTTGCTTTCACTATCACCTTTCCAGTTACCTTGGTTGGAAACTTTGGCTGTCTGACTATTCCTTCTCCTTTAATCTACATATTCAGATATTTTATCAGATTTATCTTTTGAGTGTTTTAACAACTCTGAGCTTGTGAGGTTAATTTAGAAAGTTTTCTATAGTTTACCCTGGCTGGTGTGGCTCAGTTGGTTGGAGTCTTGTCACTTTGGGTTGCGGGTTCTATTCTCGGTCAGGGCACATACTTAGGTTGTGGGTTCCTTTCCCAGTGTGGGCGCATACAATTCCCAGTCCTGGTGTGTACAAGAGGCAACTGATTGATGCCTCTCTCTCTCCCTCTCCAATCAACGTTTCTCTCTCTCCCTCTATAAAAAAGCAATGAAAAATTGTCCTTAGGTGAGGATAAAAAAGAAAAGTTTTCTACTGTTCCTTTTTGCTTATTGAATGAAGTCCAAACCCTTACATTGGTATTCAGAATCTATCCTGGTCTCATTTCATCCTACACTTCCAGCCTTATCTCATATTAGGTCCTAAGGGGGCATGGTTTTAGGTACATTTGAACTGGATTATTTATATTCTGTGATTATGCTCATCCCTTTCTACCTCTCTGCCTACCTTGTTTTCTGCCTAAAAGAACCTTTCTTCTTTCAGTTATTTCTCATTCTAATCTTTCTTCCTTTTGAAAGTTAGGCTCAAATAGTGCCTCTTTTATAAAGCACCCCTTTCCTCCTTACCAAGTAATCTCCTTTGAAATCTGCATAATACTTTATTATAGTACCTATTGCATTTTGCCTTGTATTTTAGTTCTGTTAATGTTTCCTAATATCTTCTATTTTACTATTATCCTAACGAGGGCAAGGTTCGTAAGTTACTCAGTTTGCATGTCCACTGTCACCACAACACACTTAATAGTATGTACCATAGTATGCACTCATTAAAATATTTGAGTGAACAAAAGGATAAATTCAAGTTATATTTCTGTTCCCTGTCTTTTGCTGTCTTCCGCCTCAGCTTTGGTAGAGGGATTCTGTCATCACTTACTGTAGTTTGACATATACCCTCTATAAAAGTAAATGTTCACCTTAGGATTTTTATTCTTGTATTGTATGTACTTCCATGTCATCTTTGAAGGTTTTCTTCACTTCCCTCCACCTTTTTTAAACATAAAAGTTTATTATATAGTAAAGGAAAGTTAATGCTTTACCTCTGTAATAAGCATTTTCAATAGAGATAATTCAAATCATTTGTACACAGGGTGGGCAAAAGTAGGTTTACCGTTGTGACTATGCAAAATTTGTTCTTTTATTATTTATTATTATATTTATTTTTATTATTATTACTAACCTACTCTGCCCACCCCTGTTCACTGTCAATGTAAGGCACTGGAAAAACATAGCTATTCATTTTGCATAGTTTAAGGATAGTGGAAGGAAAAGGATTTAAAATCACAGTTGTTCAAAAGACTGACCTCTAACTCTGTGGCTGTGTGTGGTTACCTGGATAGAGCCCCATCTAACCCAGTGTCACACTTAGTTGGCCTATATTAGGCTACCCCTACTTTCAGTGGGTCTTTAGGTAAAAGTAATACAATTATTAATTTTCTTTTTCTATCATTTTTTATTGTTTAAGTACAGTTTTCTCCATTTTCCCACCACCACTTTCCCCTGCCCCACCCACCCCAACCTCCCACCTTCAATCCTTCCCCACTTCAGCTTTGTCCATGGGTCCTTTATACATGTTCCTCGATGTGACCCTTCCCCTTCTTTTCCCAGTTACCCTCCCCCGTCCTCCCTATTTATTTTCTTATCTAACTTTGGGCCCTTAGGCAGATCACTGCTCTTGGATTTGGTTTTCTTACCTGGGAAATGAGGATAACAATGCTTCTTCCTGTTTAAAGAGAGTCCTAGCTCTTCTACCATGATTATTTCTTGAAACAATGTCAGGTAGTCAGACAGATAAAGAGTTCAGATCTAAGCTCTACCAGTTATCAGCTATGTGATCCCTCCAAGCTGTGGGGTTTTTTCCTGCTAAAACGGAGATTAGAAGATCTAACTAGCAGATCTAATTAAATATAACTTAACTAATTAAAGGGTTGATATTTTACACAGGAAACACTTGACTCTTTTGGCATCTATTAGGCACTTCATAAATGGAAATGTTTCCTTCCAGGTCTGTGATATGTTTCTCAGAATAAATATGTTGGGGTTTTTGGGGTGGGTTTTTGTTTTTTTTTTTGTATTTTTTTTTCCATTGCCATTTATCCTCCTTATACCTCCACCCACCCACTTCCCCCTGGTTTTGTTTTTTTTTAAATTGGGGTTTTTGTGCATCCCTAGAACTTCGTGCATCCTTAGAACTTTCAAACTTTTTTTCTAGGAACTAACATCTGTTGTAGTAAAAAAGTAAACTCTTGCATTTCCAGATGTCGTTTTATAATTATAGAAGATTTCACTTTGGAAAATTATTGAACCTTGTGTAGAACAGAGATAGTTCCTTTTAGTCATAATCCATTTAGTATCTAGCACTGAATCTCTTATGTAGTAGATGGTGAATATCATTTCTCTTTTTTCTCATTTCTACAGATAGTACACATCCTAAATATGACTTCTGCAAAGATAATTTCTTTTCTGTTACCACCTGATGAAAGTCTTCATTCACTGCAGTCTCGTATTGAGCGTGAAACTGGAATAAATACTGCTACTCAAGAGCTTCTTTCAGAGACGGGAATTTCTCTTGATCCTCGGAAACCAGCCTCTCAGTGTGTGCTAGATGGAGTAGTAAGAAAATTCTAATTTACCTAGAAGAATATAAGAAATCTGTTTGCATAGAGGGGTTGCATACTCTGCATTTTTGGATGTATATTTGGAATTCTTTGGGGGGTGATACACATCTAATAATTCTTTTAGTTTTATCCTACTCAGTTCTCTTACTGCTTTGCAGGGTAAACAAAATAGAAGTGAAACATTTGTTATTTTGAACTTGGTACAACTTTCTCTTTGGTGCTAGTTCTCTCCTCCCTCTTTTTTTTCCCTTTTTGTAGTTGAAACCTAATATCTTGAAATTAGATCAGCCGTCTCATAGGCTCTCTGCCAGAGGATAGATGAATGGTAAAATATGATTATGGTCATGACTCATTTTTCATTTTATCTGACTTCATTGATGTATAGTTTATATATTATATAATTTACCCATTTCAAGTATATAATTCAGAGGTTTTTTTTGTTTTGTTTTAGTAAATTTACCTAATTCTTGTGGCCATCACCATAAATCAGTTTTAAAACATTTCTGTCTCAGTAAGGTTGTTCATGTCCATTAACTGTTAATCTCCATTCTGCCTACCCAAAGCAATCACTGATTTACTTTTTATCTGTGGATTTGCCTTTTCTGAACATTTCCCATAAATGGACCTACAACCTGAAGTCCCACATGTCAGACATTTTGTACTTAGTGTTATATTTTTGAGGTTCATCTTGTCATAGCATGTATCTGTATTTTATTCCTTTTGATTGCTGAATAGTATTCCCATTGAATGGATGTATGTTGTTACGGCTTTTTTTATTTTTGTCCTCTTGAGTCTGATGATTGTTTTTCACTTTAGCCCATAGCGAAGATATTTAATTATTTTTTGTAAATAAAAGTTTAGGTCTTAAATCTGTAAGATGTAGGCGAATGAACATGGACTTTGTTCATTTGCATTTCAGAGAAGGAAATTTGGTACTTAAGTACTTGGGGGAATCTAGAATTTTCAAGGATGTTTTTAAAAATTCCTTCTTTTTTTTTCAGAGAGGATGTGATAGCTATATGGTTTATTTGTTTGATAAAAGTAAGACTGTGTATGAAGGACCATTTGCTTCCAGAAGTTTATCTGACTCTGTAAATTACATTGGTAAGTCTATTCCACTACTGACTGAGATTTAAACCTGAAATAATACAGTTTTGATTCAACATGATTAGTAGAAATGGTCTTTGGGGTTTTTATTCTTTGTCTCATACTTCAGCTTATGATGAAAGTATGCCAAAAAAAAAAAAAAAATGAAAAAAACCCTTTATGGTGAAAAATGGGTATCTAAAGTTTGGAAGGTGAAAAGGTAGGTTTTAAATCACCACCAGATCCCTCATTTGGGAAAAGGCAACTTTCTTGAGGATAGGCCCCTCACAGATAGACGAATGAATCTCCATTATGTATTAAGCCTACTTTTTAGTTTCTTCTTCATTATTTAAGCATGTTCATGTATTTAATTTTATCCTATGAATATTGCTTAATGTTCAAAAGTTTTCATTTATCCAAAAGAATAAGAGAATTATTCTTTTGAAGAAGGTGTTTGTCAATTTCTATCTACCTCAAACTAAAATCAAGTATAAAATTGTAAAATCAAGAACAAAACTGTGCATAAAGGCTAAAATTATATAATCTTTTTTCTATGTTACGTTTTTGTTAGTTTGTTTTAAGACAAATTTGCAGAAAAAAATGAGCAGATAGTAGTACAGAGTTCTCATGTTATCCCCCTCCCATACACATAGTTTTCTCCATTTTTAACATCTTATATTAGTATAGTACATTTTGTTACAATGCATAAACCACTGTTATTAACTGCAGTTCATACTTTATTCAGATATCCTTAGTTTTCATCTGATGTTCTTTTTTTGTTCCAAGATCTCATCCAAGATACCACATTGCATTTAGTTGTCATGTCTCCTTGGGCTTCTCTTGGCTGTGACAGTTTCTCAGACTTTGCTTGTTTTTGATGACTTTGACAGTTTTGAGGAATACTAGTCAAGTATTTTGTAAGATGTCCCCCTACTGCAATTTGTCTGATTTTTTTCCTCTCATGATTAGACTTGGATTACGGGTTTTTGAGAGAAAGATCACAGAAATGCCGTTTTTCATCACATTATATGAAGGGTACATACTGTCAGCATGAAGTGTGACTGTTGGTGTGGACCTTGATCACTTGGCAAAAGTAGTGTTTGTCAGGTTTCTGCACTGTGAAGTTTAGTCTCCCTGCCCCCCCCCCCCCCGCTTCAATATTGTACTCTTTGGAAGAAAGTCACTATGCCAAACCCACACTTAAGAAGTGGGAAGTTAGGCTCCCCTTCCTTTAAGATAGAACATCTATATAATTTATTTGGAACTCTTTTGCACATGAGATTTGTCTCTTCTCTTTCACTTATTAACTTAATTATTATATCAGTATAAATTAATGGATTTTATATTTTAGATTATAATCCAATACTAGTTTATTTATTTTGTTCAAACTGTTGCAGTTTTTGCCATTAGGAGCTCTTTTAGTTGGTTTCCTGTGCCTCTTTTACTTGCATCCATAATGTTGGTTTTCTTTTTTTTAGCACTTCCTTACTTCCCAGCACTACATTGTATTCTAGGCCTATTTTGTACATTTTCTGCCCAGTCCTAGAATCAGCCATTTTTCTAAGAAGCCCTGGTTCCTTTATTAGAGAACCATATTAGAAGCCAAGATCTGGACACGGGATGTGATTCTTGCTACTGTTATATCATTTCTTAGGCCCTTTCAGACTTTATTTTTTTAGTGTATGTGTGTGTATTTTGGTCAGGCTTCCCTCCCAGACTCTTTTTAAAAAATATTTTGTGTTCTTGTTTTGTATGCTGTAGGAAGCTTCAGGAGTAAATGTGGGAATATAAGAAGAAAGATTAATTGAGGCTATTAGTCATTATTAAGGGAGGCAGAGATTTTCCTAGATATGTAACTTAATATTTTTGAAGTCTGCTGCAAATAATTTTTCTCATTATGAAACCTACAATACCAACCTTTTTCTGAAGGTTTACATTGGAAAAGAATAACAATATAATTGCCTCCTTAAAGTACAAGATGACTCTTCCATTCTCGGAGGAAATCTACATAATATCATAATGTTAAAATGAGATTTCATTGCACTGAACAAACATACCTGTCATGATTTTAGAAAGTAGCATTCCCTTTACCAAAGAAAGAGCAAGAGAATCATAAATAGATAATTTTGTAAGTTTGGCATTGAAGAAAGCATATCTTATTAAACTGCTATTTACCTCCTATGCTTTCCTGAAGCTCAGTTGGTAGTCCAGGAGATAAAATTTATTATTCAGAGACAGAAAAGGCTATGGCAGATTGTGGAGGAGATCAGACTTTACTTAAAGATGGAAAGAAATAAAGAATTTATATTAGAGAGATAAAAAACAGTGTTCCACGTTGGAGGAAAGCAAGAAAAAAGACATATAGGAATAATCTCAGTGTTGTGATTATGTGGTGATTATGTCTTACTCATTTTTATTTCCACTTGTATCTGGAACAGAGTTTGTGTATTGCAAGTGCTCCGTAAATGTTTATTGAACTGAATAAAACGGTAACAAGTGGTTCTTTCTAACATCTATGGGAATGATATTTCTAAGGACTGGAAGTCACAAGAGTGATTATTGAGCTCTAAAATCTTAAAAAATAATTCATGTCTTTTTCCCATCTTCCTACATATAGTACGGGACAGCAAAATACAGCTTCCTGTTATACAGCTGCGTAAAGTGTGGGCTGAAGCAGTGCACTACGTGTCTGGGCTAAAAGAAGACTACAGCAGGCTCTTTCAGGGGCAAAGAGCAGCAATGTAAGCTAATTCTGTTGTTTATAGGGGCAGTGTCATGCACATTAATGTTCAGGAATTAATTTTGCCAGTTTTCACTAATCAGTGTTCCATGCAATACTAAAATACTGGACCAGTTTGAAATGTAATATTCTGATCAGACTCATAGAATTCTTACTAATGGTCTGAAGCCATCCAGTTGCAACGGCTTGAGAGTAATTCCTCAGCATAACATCCTATTATAAAGGAAATTGTTACCACAGGCAGAAAGTCTTTAGGGACCAGATTCTAGAGATCAGCCATTTCTCATAGATTGATAAGAGAAACTTAGGCTTTGGACTTACATCAGTTTAAGTTTTATAATTTTTGTACAATGTTGATGAAATGCTGATTTTTTTTTGTTTATGGTTTAGGTTAAGTCTTCTTAGATACAATACTAACTTGACAAAAATGAAGAATGCTTTGATCTCAGCATCTCAGCAACTGAAGGCTAAACTAGAGTTTTTTCACAAAAGCATTCAGCTTGACTTGGAAAGATACAGTGAGCAGATGACTTATGGGATATGTAAGTTTCTGGGTAATGTATTTGAAAGAAGTGTCTAGTCTTTTGAAGCCATCTGTTATTTTATCTCCTTGCCTCATAGCCAGTTGTTTCTCTTACATTCAACATTAGAACAAGAGACAGGACACCTAAATCATCATAAACCATGTTTGTTTTGAATGTTAGCTTTTTTCTTTAACCTTTAATTGAGCAACTTTACAGGGTTCCCCCTTCACACACACAATTGGACTAAAGCTGTTTAGTTCCAGAAAAATACAAAAGTGATTTAAGAATTAGTGATTTTCTTGCCTTTTTTTTTTCTTTTTAATTTTTTAGAGAGAAGGGAAAGGAGGGAGAAAGGAAGAGAAACATTGATGTGTGGACAGCAACATTGATTGGTTGCCTCTCGCGTGCCCCCAAGTGGGGATCTGTCCCACAACTCAGGCCTGTGCCCTGACCAGAACTCAAACTGGTGACCTTTTGGTTCACAGGCTGGCGCTTAATTCACTGAGGCACACCAGCCAGGACAGTAATTTTCAAGCTACTATGAAAAATAGATACAAAATCTGTATTGGGATGACTCCTTAGCTAGGGAAATCCTAAACCACTTATCTTTCTGTAAATAATAACGTAGATAATTGTGTTTTTTTCCAAACCACCTACTGTGTAATCCCACTTTTTCATTGTACACAGGCTCCAATTTTTCAATATTTTGCTTCAAGCTATCTCCCTTCAGATATACTAAGGAAATGTAAAAAACAGACTTAAATTCAAATAAACTGAAGAGCTCAACCACCAGCATTTGTTTTTTTCCCTCACTGAAACAAATCCTTTTGTGGTGGAAACAAATCCTGTTTGTATACTTGTCTTGAACATGGTACATGTATCTTAGAATAATGATCAGCACTGTCCAGTTGTATGAATAAGTTTACCTGTTAGAACTGGTTATGATTGATGTTTTATGTCTAGTTGTGTATTATGGACATACTGGTGAATGGCAAAACATAATTATTTCATCAAATTATCTTTGACTTGTCAGTTGTATATATTAGATGGTTGTTTAAAAAGAATGAGGTAGATCATTTGGACCTTTAATGTCAGGATGTTTTAAGATGGGAAAGAAAGAAAAGTATGTATAGATGGTCTCACTTGTGAAGGAAAGGGTATGTGTCTTTATAACAAATGATTAAATAAGATCCCAAAGGTTGGAGAGTAGGAAGAGGTTTTTTTTATATCCTTTTATACTTTTTATTTAAACATAATTTTCATGTGTTACTTTAATAATTTTTTTTAAATCCAAAATTTATTCATCAGACATAACAATGTCCCCAGAGAGTAAGTTTCCTTACATGTGTAGTAAGTGATAATCTAATTACACTGCTAGTAATTAGGGCATTTACAAAGCTGCTAATATGTTATATTAGTATATTTCTTCACAGTGATACTTCCACTTGAAGAAATCATACCAAAACCAAAGACATAAGCATTCCTGAAACAAGAAACCATCTTTTTACTAATATTTCTTTGTTATGGTACTTAGTCTTGGTATTATTAAGCACAATGAATTTTTTTTTTAAAGATTTTATTTATTTTTAAAGCGGGGAAAGGAGGGAGAAAGAAAGGGAGAGAAACATAAGTGTGTGGTTGCCTCTTGTGCACCCCTCACCAGGGACCTGGCCCACAACACAGGCATGTGCCCTGACTGGGAATCGAACCTGTGACCCTTTGTTTTGCAGGCCAGCACTCAATCCACTGAGCCATACCAGCCAGGGCTGAATTTTCCTTAATGAATATAGTAGATTAAGGCAAAAGGACATAGCCTAGTCCCCTCAATAATTTATTTACTATCTTATTAAAAAATGGTTGTGGAGGCCATGCAAATTACAACGATGCTGGATGGAAAGACACAGGTAGTCCTTTAGACCAACTTCTAGTATTTTAAGAACGAGTTTAAAATCATCGTGCTCACAGCATCTCCCTTCACCCGCCATTATAATTGTTCCTCAGCCATTCCCGCAATGCTGATTTTCAAATGATACCATTTACTTGCTATGTCTCTTGGCTGTATATAAATTATTTTTCTTACTAAAAATATTTAATACTTTGGCAATAATCTATTCAGTCTTTGAAAACTCTCCAGTGAATATTTTTTATATTTACAACTTTTCCCTGCATGGCTGTTGCACTTTTCTTCTCTCATCTTCACGTAACTAAGTGGTCCTTTCCCTTCAAAGGAGGAAGGGTTTTTGAATGAGCTGCTAATTCTATCCCACAGTATGAAATACTGTCCATAGTTATAGTTAAAGACCATCTGATGGTCTATATGATGAGCTGAGCCATTAATAAATGGCTTTAAGATTTTGGGGACACAAAAATCACCATCATGAATGGAAATTGTCCAGATATTGACCAAGATGTACAAACCTAAATAAACTACCTTGTGTAATGTAAAGAGAAAAGGGTATATATGGTAAGGTAGACTTTGCAGGAAGCCATCCACAAGGTGAAAAGCATGACTTGTGAATGGAGTAGGAATCTTCCAGATATGATGAGGTTTTATGTATGTGCACGTAGAAAGTCTCCTATGTCATCATATAATTTGCTTTCTCAACCTCTCTCAACTCCAGCAGAAACAAGGAAACAATGGGAATACTCATCCATGGTAATGTCTGGGCAGTATATAATCTCTCGATAGACTTGGTTCTTTAAAAATTGTGGATGCTTCATAAATGATCAAAGACAAAATAATAGCTCAGTGTTGCAAAGAAGAAATAAAGGATATAAGCACCAAGATTTGTTATAATCAGAAGACTAATAGTTTTTTGAAAGAAGTCATCCTCTGGCCAGGTGGTTGGATACATGTATGGTGTAAAAACATAATAATCTGCAGCACTGAGTACAAGATCCATCTTAGCCTCTAGGGGAAGGTCTACCGCAGATCCAGCTGCTGCGGGGTCACAGGACGCTTGAGCCTGCGGACCACTGCTGCCAGATAGCGGGTGCTGCCTGGGGGGTTCTTTCTTTTTTTAAAAGATAAAACCATCTGTATTAGTGTCCTACAGCTGCCATAATAATTTACTGTTAACTGCATGGCTTAAAACAACAGAAATTTATCATCTCACAGTTCCAGAGGCTAAAAGTCTAAAATCGAGGTGTTGGCAAGGCCATTGAGTCCTTTGAAACCTGTGGAGAGGAATCCCGTGCTTCTTTCTAGTTTCTTGGTGGTTTATCAGCAGTCCTTGGCATTTCTTGGCTTGCAGCTATAGCACTTTACTCTGCCTCTGTCATCAAATGGAGTTCTGCCTTCATATGTCTGTGTCTCTGTGTCTCTTTTAAGGATACTAGTCATACTGGATTAAGGGTCCACCTACTGAAGATTGACGTCATCTTAATTTAGCCAACTATCTACACTGATCCTATTTCCAAATAAGGACACATTCAGATGTACTTACTGAGTTAGGACTTCCAACATAACTTTTGGCGGGAACAATTCAACCCATAACACCATTTTTTGATATTGGTACAGCAAGGAGGTGGGTAGGTCAATAATTAAAACTATGACTGTTTCTGAAATAACCAATTAAGACTTTTTTTTCAGCCTCAGAAAAAATGTTAAAAGCATGGAAGGAAATGGAAGAAAAGGCTATCCACTATGCTGAGGTAAATTCACTAAGATCATCCTGGTGTGTTTGTTTATTCCTGAAGTCTCACGTAGAAACTTTCTTTGGTTTTGGTATATAGAGCATTCGTCATGTCATTTCCAGGTATCAGACAGGTATCTAGTAGATGTTTTGTATATATAGAGGGAAGTGCCATAGTGGATAAAAATAGGGGTATTGGGCAAAGAAAGTAAACTGAAACTCAGTGAGCTTGAGCTTCTATATTATATTATGAGGACTATACCTTTTCTAGTAAGGTATGCAGATTAAATGGAAATAAAGAATAAATGGTAATTATCACTGTTATTTTTATAACTGGTTTAGATAGGATAGCTCCACATCCTGGTTTACCTAGGAAAGTCTGTTTATACTTGTCTTGCCGTAATTATCAACAGTACTTTCTTTCACTCTCAAAATTATGCAGATTTCACAATGTTATATGGTCATGCTAGGTAGAGATTATTCTCTATGTGACAAATTCCTTCCTTACATCTGTCCATGGTCCCACTAAATTGTTGCTGTCCTTCGTGTCAAAACTTAACTCTGAGGACACAGGTGGGGCAGTTGTTATCCTGGGGTGGGATATCCAGTGTCTTTATCTTTCTGCATCCTTATTCCAAGGCAGTCAGGAACAAGAGGCAATGAAAATCATAGAACAGCCTTGGCTGGTGTGGCTCAGTGGATTGAGTGCCGGCTTGTGAACCAAAGGGTTGCTGGTTCAGTTCCCAGTCAGGGACATGCCTGTGTTGTAGGCCAGGTCGCTAGTAGGGGACTCGTGGGAGGCAACCACACATTAATGTTTCTCTCCCTCTCTTTCTCCTTCCCTTCCCCTCTCTCTGAAAATAAATACAATCTTAAAAAATCATAGAACTGAGAAGCAGCTGTGTTTTTTTTGCCATTTTTTCTTCTGTCTTGTTAGTGACACATATCTTTTTGCTTCTCAGGAGGAAGCTAGTAGTTTACTCTTGTCAGGAGAGAAAAGTGAGAAGCATAGGAATAAGTATGTTCTCATGTGAAAGATTATAGAATCTGAAAGATAAAGGCTTGAACAAAGTCACTATTTTGTATTAAATCATTTAGTCAGCAAGTTATTCTTTGAGTTCTTCCCTGTGTTGTATGGTGGTGAGCCTGTCATTTCTTTTATGTTTCATCATATTGTAGGTAGGTGTCATTGGATACCTGGAGGATCAGATCATGTGCCTGCACACTGAAATCATGGAACTACAGAAAAGCCCTTATGGAAGACGTCAGGGAGACTTGATGGAATCTCTGTAAGGACATACTCATGTCGTTGGTATTGGTCTCTCTAATTTTTTGTAGCAGATTGTTCTTTCTGTGAACATCTGGCACATTAAGCCTATATGCAGTTATAGTCTATAGTTCTCCTTTTCCCAAATAATTAAAAAGGAAGTATTTTCTTAGTCACCAGAAATCTTAGAAATAACTCTTTGGGTTGACCTTTGCTGTTTTAATCAAAGAATCTTTTCATGTGCATGTTAAGAATTTTTTAAATATTCTAAGTTACAAACTATTTCCCTACTTCTGGCCCAAGGTATTGTCTGTTAAGTACTCTAAATGAGTAAATGAGGTAACTTCCTAAATGTTTAGATTAGAAATTACAGGGTTTTTTCTCTATCACAGGCCATAATTTTTGTCCATTTAAGTGTTTTTGGTGCAAGGATCAGATAAGATTTGTGGTGGTAGACCACAGCAGATAAGGAGTATTTTAAACTTTGCATTTTAAGATCTCGCTTATTATTCAATGAAATTCTCTGTAAAATATTTGTTGGCAATATATACTTGGTTTAAAATTGGATCATTACTCTCTTCAAATAATATTGTTCATTCCAAGTTATGGATTATTAGAGTCATTTAAATTATTTTCACATAGAAACATGTTTTCTCTTTCTTAGGGAACAGCGCGCCATTGATCTATATAAGCAATTAAAGCACAGACCTTCAGGTAAGACACTTTCATCACAGTACATGAAGGCATTTTAGGAAACCATCTTTAGCCTAACAAATCCTGGGGATTGGAATTTTTTAAATTTATTTATTCTTTATTGTATTATTTTCCCATTACCATTTAGTCCCCTTATATTCCTCTCAACTTCTGGGGATTGGATTTTAAACAAGCTAGAAAAAAATTCCACTTTTGGTATTTCCATTGAAATGTTTATGGTGCAACAGCTTTTAGTTTGTGAGAATTTAAGAGATGAGGACGGCAAAATTGCAAGAAAATTGAGATGGAAAATCTGTTACAGAGATGTGAAAGGAAGGAATGAAACAAAAGAACTCAAAGAAGGGGAAGGGGGAGCAAGAAAAGGTGTGGAAAGATGGAAAAATATAAGTGCTGCTTAAGGTGGGAGAGGTTAGGAGAAAGGAAGTTGATGCTGTAGGTTCAGGTGTGGAATGGTTAAAGGGAAGGCCCATGTGCTAGGCTAAAGCAGTGTACCTTGAAAATGATGCCTTCCTCTGTACCTGTTCACTGATTGGTTATTTCATTGGCAAAACAATTCTTGTGAACATCTGTTGAATACAGAGCATGGTCTTTTGGAAAGAGCACTGGATTGGGAATTGGAAGGCTTGACTTCTAGAGTGGGCACTTTACTGTCCAAGTGACTTGGGGCAAATTACCTAATCTCTTTCCATCTCCTTTCTATTTTCTGCAAAATGGGGATGAAACCTAGCCTTAACTCAGCGAGTGCATGTGGCATTGTATTTGAGAGGATGTTTGTGAAAATGCTTTAGAAACTGTAAAGTATTATATACCTGCAAAATATTATCCTTCAGTTAAAAAGTGATTTGTTTTGAAGGGTTATAGAAAAAAAATAAAATGGGAAGTCTGTGCCCTAATTTTTATATTGTGAAAAAAAACAAAAACAACTCTACAACATTTTACACTTTAAAATTTACAAACATATGCAAATATACATGTGGAATTGTATTTAACAAATAACATGATCTCTTCTACATAGTTTTTATTATAGAGGAATTTGTTCAGTTTATTTCTATAAACATTTATGAGGTACATGTAAACTAGACACCTCACCCTGACTAGGGGTGAGGGATGGTTAAAGGAGATGTCCTGTAGGAGATGACATCTAAGATGAGCCTTAAAGGCCTTAAAGGATCAGTCATAGTAGCTTAGGTGAAAGGAGGCGGGCTCTTGATATACAAGTATAACAGACAAAGACATGCACGTGTAGCACTTAGTATGTCTGAGGAAATGCATTGTGACTGGATTGTAGTTTCAGGAGGAGAAAGATATGGCTGGATCATAAAGGATCTGGTATGTCATGGTAATGAGTTTGGATTTCCTTACGGTGGCAAAGAGAAACATTAAAAAATTTTAAGCAGGGGGATGGCATAATCAGGTCAGCATTTTAAAAATACTGCTCTGGTAGCATGTCGATAATGGATTAAACTGTGACTAAGCTAGAGACAGGGGCATTGATTATAAGGTGATGAAATAATCATAGCTCAGTATAGGGTGGGCCAGAGCTGAGGCAGAAAGCCTGAGCTGTGGCAGTGGGGTGAAGAAGGTAAGGTCAAGAGAGATATTTAGGAGGTAGAACTGATAGTGTTGGGTGATGGATTGAACATGGGTACTGGAGATGGAATTAGGAAGTCATGGGTGCCCCCTAAGGTTCTGACTAGGGCAGCTGGTGCATGGTAGGACCACTCACCATAATAGGATGTAAAGGAAGGATGACAGACTTGATGAAAAAGATGAGTTCATTTTCGTACATGTTGATAGTAAGGTGTCAGTGGAACACTTAAGTAATGATGTCTAATACACAGTATCAGAGAGATATATATATGTATATATAGGAAAGCCTCAATGTTGTCAGTAGGTTTTGCGACATTAAGCAAAATGACATAACGAAACTAATTTTACCATGCCCTTCTTGACTGAAACAAAAATTAATTTCCTATGGCATCTTAATAAATTTTATAATGAAATGATATTAAATGAAACTACATTAGTTGAGGGCATGCACGTGCATATATACACACATACATACTTATGCATGTGAATTTAGTAGAGAAATCTGAGCTAGATATTTAGCTATTTTGAACGTAATTAGCCATAGAAATAAAGTGGTCATCCTGAAAAAGTAGGTTGAATAAGAAAGCCAAGAATAGATGGAATCCTAGGGAATACCAACATTCAAGAAATGAATAGAAGCAGAAGGATTTTCAAAGAAGATTGAGAAATGGCAGACTATGGAGAGGGAATGAATGATAGGATAGGAACAGGACAGATAGAATTTCAAAAAGAAAGTAATCTATAGGGTGAAATGCTGCAGAGGTGTAGGTAATAAAAATGATAATGAAAATATTCATTGGACCAAGCAGTTTGGACATCATTGTGATTTTAGCAAAATATATGTGATCTTGTCCTATGTGTAACAGAAACCAGATTGTAGTGAGCTGAGGAGAAAACGGGATAGGAGGGAAGGGAGAAGTCATTCTAGACCCGCAGTTTACAAAGTGTGGTTCATGAACCCTTGAGGATCTCTGAAACCTTTTCTTGAAGTCAGTAACATCAAAACTCTTTTTATAATACTATGATTTTTTTTTTTTTGCCTGTTTCATTATGTTGACATTTTCACTGATGCTGCAAAGTATTTGATGGGTAATGGTGTGCACCTTAATTGGCATGAATCAAGGCACGAGCACCAAACTATGCTAGAAGTTACTATAGTTTTAACAACCAAGCAGTTACAGTTTTTAAAAAATACCAGTTTCATTTACATGCCCTTGATAAAGCAGTAAAAATTTTATTTAACTCTCAACCCTTGAGTACATGTCTTTTTAATGTTCTGTGTGATGCAATGGAAAGTACTCATAGGTGCTTCTGCTACATACTGAAGTATGATGGTTGTTTTAAGGAAAACCACTTCAGCAATTATTTACATTGCTGATGGACTGACTTCTTTAATGGAACACCATTTTTACTTAAACAAATAACTTTCAGACAAATTATGGTTATTCAGATTTGTGTATGAGGCAGATATTTTCTCAAAAACTAATGAAGCATGACTGTCACTTCAAGGAAAGAGAGAGACAGTGTTAGCTGTCAATGATAAAATTCCATGTTTCAAGCAAAAAATTAGAGCTTAAGAAAACTTGTATCCATCAACTAAAATTTGTCAGTTTCTTGAATACTTAGACTTTTCTGATGAGGACAGTGGTGATATTAAAACAGTTTGCAAAAATGTAAAACAATGCCAGTTTCCTCACTAATTATTTTTGTTTATGAAAATAGTTATTTTTAATGAAAATGTTAATAGTTCTTATTAAATGAATACATATTTAAAAAAATATTCTCAGTTTAATTCCTGAAAAACACTTTGGTGTTGTTAAGAATTTTTCATTGTAAAGGGGCCCTGAGGTAAAGAGTTTGAGAACTGTTTACCTAGGCTATTCTTTTTAAAAGCTTGGCTGTTAAGGAAAGAAGAGAGGTGAATAGCTATGAGGAGACATAGAAGCAAGGGAGGTCAATTTTCAAAAGGCATACTTGAGTGTATTTATGTGTTTGGGGTTAAAAGCCTGTGAATATGGAGTCCCCTGAACAAGCCTGAGCGGCTGACTCCAGAGAATAATGGAAGGGTTAGGCTTACTGCCACTGGTACTAGAGGGAGGATGGGTGTGGATACAGATACTTTTGTGCAGATAGGGGTTGGAAGGTGAGGGTCTTATGGCTACTCATCCTGAAGTGAGAAGTGGGGTTAACTTGAACGTAAGAGGTGATAACCTCATAGATTTAAGGAGTATTCTAAAAATTCTTTAAAGCTGGTATGTGTAATGGGAGATGTTGCTGACCTAGAACACTTAAGAATCTATAGCAGAAGTGAAAACCTGTGAATTAGTAGTTGACAACAGAGGGAATGGTAGTTTAATTTTTGTGTTAGTATTGTTTAGTACCTTGGATACAGCAACTGATAGAGCAAATGGTTAGACCAATCCAGGACTAGAATTGTACTGATAGAATAAGAGGACAAAGAAGTTGAAGATACTGACAAAAAGTGATATAAGTGATAGAAGTTGAAGTTAGAGTGAAATATTGAAATTTAAGATATCAAATAGTGAAGTCTAAATCTTTTTTCTTTAATCCTTATTCATTACTCCCAGTCTTCTGGCCAATGAATTATACATTGCAGATAAAGATGTATAAAATTCCATTAACAGGAATTTTAACTTTCCTGTCAGTGATAGCCTTTATTTGGCTTTTATAAAAGCTTCACAGTACTCATATGAGCATATCAGCGTAGGGCCCAGAAATAAAAGTGCTATCCAAGTAGTTTCTTTGAACTAATGGTCCCCTTGAATGACAAACTAGTTAGCTGCAGCAAATTTTGTCTATTGTTGTGGCTTTTATAATCACACTTGATATATATTCTGGTGTCTTTTCTAACTTAGAGTTGAGTTGAGACTCATATTCAACTGAAAATAGTAAAAACCAACTTTCTGCATTCTCTATGGTGGACAAAGTTAAAGTTCTGAGGTCTTTGACCCTCTGAAAAGGTTTGCTCTGTTGGGCTTCATCTGTGGGATTAAGAAAGGGGTGCTATTTGGAGAGGAGTCTTTTTGGAGCCTCCATATCTAGCTGTTGGTAAGGGAGTGAGGTAGAGAGATGTGTGGGGAATAAATGAAGTTGAACTATGGAGGAGGTCTTTGCAGTGATAATTTTTTTAAACCTCTTTTGGTACTCCTTTCAGAGTAAAATGTGTGTAACAGTAGTAGCCATCTCACAGGAGTCCTATGAGGGCTAAATGAGAAGATTGTATGTAGCTGAGAGGAAATAATATTTTTGTATTTGAGATTAATTATTGTTTAAGGAAAAAGCAGCATGATCCATGAGCAGCATTCCAATTTTTTAAAACTTAGCCCTTTTGAGCCACTTCTGCTCCAGATTCCAGAAGAACTAGAGGATGTTTTTGACCTCGTAGAGGA